ATTATTATTATTATTATTATTATTATTAAGGATCCAAGAAACATTGTGGCCCTCAAGATGACCTATTCAGTCCACTCTCTAGCTCGCACTCTGCTAGCTTTCCACAAACTATGCAGAACAACTGGGCCCACCACACCAATGGTCCATCTAGTCCAGCCTCCTGTCTCACACAGTGGCCAACCAGTTCCTCTGGAGGGCCAACAACAGAGCAAAGAGGCCGAGGCCTTCCCGTGATGTTGCCTCCTGGCTCTGGGATTCAGAAGTTGACTGCCTCTGAATATGGAGGTTCCCTTTAGTCCCCCGCCCGATTAAAATCACACGCCTTCATACCTTGTCCCCAGTGACCACCAGACCCCCCTGACATAACATCGTCTGTTCAGATATCGCACTCACTCCTATCGCATGCCGGCAGACACTCACCAAATATAAAAAAAGAGACAGAACGCAGGCGCAGAGCCAGCAAACTGATAGTGCCTCCAGTCCCGGATGCTGTACGCCAAGCCGGCCAAGGCCATCTGCCCCATGGCGTTGGTGCAGTGAGCCATGACTATCACAACGGGGCGGTAGGAAGCCCCCACCCACTCAGTACCTGCAGGGGTACAGAGACGATCAAGCTGTTAAGAGCGATGCACAATGGCGTGCAGCAAGACAATTATTTCGATTCAATAACGGCCAGGGATTTAACCCGTTAAACGAGTGCATTGATCAGTTAAATTTAAATAAACAGATTATAAGATCTCTCTTTGGTATCAAAGCCCATCAGGGCTTGGCTTCCATTGGTAACAGGTATAACATAGCGTCTAAACGGCACTATCGCTGCAGCTGCGTTCCACTTAGCATTTTGCCAGATCTGGGTTGGGAAATTCCTGGAGATTCTGGGGGGTGGAGCCTGGGGAGGGCAGAGTTTGGAGAAAGGAGGGACCTCGATTTGATATAATGCCATAAGTCTACCCCCCAAACTGTTATTTTCTCCAGGAGAAGAGATCTCTGTCAGCTGGAGATCAGTGGTAATTCTGGGAGATCCTCAAGCCCTAAAAGAAGACAAAGAAGACAAAGTAGACAGAGAAGGAGAAGAAGAAGAGGAGGAGGAGGAGGAGTTTGGATTTATACCCCGCCCTTCACTACACAAAGGAGTCTCAGAGCATCTCACAATCTCCTTTCCAGGGGTCATTTCGTAGGAAAAAAGGAGCAGGATCTCATTAGCATAACTCATTTGCATAACTTATTTGCATATGGCACACCCCCTGACAATACCGGAAGTGTGTCAGAAGGCAACACCCACCACTCAGGCTCCACTGGACTGTTTTGGATTGCCAGCTATTGGGGGGGGGACGTGCAGATCTGTCCTCACAGAGGAGGCAGAGCTTGTACCTGAATAAAACTTGGTCTTAAAGGTGCCACTGGACTGTTTTGGACTGGAGGGCCGGGGGGAGCTCTGCAACTTACCTGGCTGCTTCTTGCTCTGACTGAGGGCTGCTGGGAGCAGGGGGTGGGGCTTGTTGCATGTGCCCGCTCCCTGGGCTCTTTATTGCCGGAGCTCCACTGCTGTGTGTTCCTGCAGGCAGGGGTCTTGTTGTAGAAAAAGAGCTGCCGGAGCTCATTAGCATAACTCATTAGCATAACTTATTTGCATATGCCACGCCCCCTGACATCACCGGAAGTGACAGAAGGCCACACCCCCTGACATCACCGGAAGTGTGTCAGAAGGCCCGGCTACTTACCCTCCTGCTTCATCCTCATTCCCAAACGGAATGAGGATCGAAGCAGAGGGCGGGGTAAAGAAGGGGGCGGGGCTTCACCACGTGATCGCCCCGCCCCCTAGAGGTTCTCTTCCGGAGCTCCGTACCTGAGAGCTCCCCCCCGACTAGAGCCCTGCCTGCAGGAAATTACCCCTGCTCCTTTCCTTTCCCCTCCTCACAACAGACACCCAGTGAGGTAGGTGGGGCTGAGAGAGCTCTGAGAGAACTGCTCTTGAGAGAACAGCTCTGAGAGAACTTGTAATCGACCCAAGGTCACACCAGCAGCTGCACGTGGAGGAGTGGGGAATCAAACCTGGTTCTCCCAGATTAGAGTCCGCACTCCTAACCACTACACCAAACTAGAGGTTGGCATGCCCACTTCCCCTGAGGACTCGTGGACATGTGCTTCTCTGGCTGGTGAGCGGACACCACTTTCATGTACAATTCTCTGAATCTGGGAGAACCAGGTATCTACTTAAGTAGGGTTACCAAATGCCCTCTTTTTAGAGGACATGTCCTCTTTTTTGGTGACCGTACTCTCTTTAGCTCTTTAAAAAAAATGACGAAAACATCTGCTTTTTGGGTCGGATGGTTAGGGATATTCCTAGCTAGTAGCAATTATCACAGCTGAAATAGTAGGGGTCTTTGAAATGAGGTTTGTCATAGGGATCACTTGTTTGAAGTAATCAGTCGGGAAAGATGTCCTCCTGTTTGCTTTTATCTTCAGTAAGGAGAACCATTATGGCATACCGATTACGGTGGGGAAAAAGAAGAAAGCAGGTGCGAGATGGAAGTACTTACTAGAGCAATGCTCATTGCTCAAGGTGGAATTTGAAAAACCCCGTAGAAGATCCCCTGAAGAGGCTTTACTGTGGCATGCGTAGGGATCTATAAAGCTCTAATAAATACTTTCACCTCGTGCCTGCTTTTTTCTTTTTTCCCTCCCTACTGGTGCGGCCATTTGTTTCTCCGGTACTGATTAGAGTGTCAGAGTAGGATCGGTGTGATGGACAGGAGGCTGTCCCACCCCAAAGGGAAAAACAGCCACTCAGCAGCCGTTTCATCCCTGGGCCTATGAGAGTGCAACTCTAGCATCCAATCACCTTTCAGAGGCGGGATGGAATGGTGGTGGGAAGCATAGTTCTGGTCCAATCAGAAGTGACTCACGATAAATCAGTCACTGTCCCCCATCTAACAGGATTGAAGTGAATGTACCTAGGAAGTAGAAAATGGCACCCAATTAGAGGACAAAATGTCTGGAAAGAATCATCAGGGGACGTGGCTGCAGAATTTCAAGGAAAGGCAAAAGGGCTTATTTCTTTATCCTACATACCTATCCGGTGGTACCTGGAAGAACCCAGCACAGGTAGGCGTTTAACTCGACAGGTACCACTGGGACCCACGCTCACTCGACCAAACCCCAAGGCCTGAGCCACCAAGCAGGTTAGGGATTGAGTCTAGTGCAGGGATCCCTCCACGATACCTGCCGACACCTTTCCTGGTGGAAGCCAAAATGAGAGATCACGGGAAGAGGTGTCACTCCAAAAACAACATCCATGATAAAAAAAATAACAGAGTCAATAAAGATAAATTGCAAAAAGATTTACTGAAGTGATTCTGTAGTTCTGTAAGGAATATCCTTCTGTCATCGCTCACATGCTAACAAATACTGCGCAATGTGAACATTCGTTTCGCAATATATACTTTATCTGATCGTGTAGCGATCCACATTGTGAAGACCTTGGGCCCTGTCATTAGTCAACATGGAATGTTTCCAGCAAGACCTGATAAGTAGTATTTGATAAGAATTGGGATTGAGAGCCAGTTTGGTGTAGTGGTTAAGTGTGCGAACTCTAATCTGGGAGATCCGGGTTTGATTCCCCACTCCTCCACTTGAACTTGCTGATGTGACCTTGGGTCAGTCACAAGCTCTGGCACAGCTGTCCTTGAAAAAGAGCAGTTTGTGTCAAGAGTTCTCTCAGCCCCACCCACCTCACAGGGTGTCTGTTGTGGGGAGGGGAAGGGAAAGGAGTTTGTAAGCCGCTCTGAGACTCCAAGTGAAGGGCGGGGGATAAACCCAATCTCTTGTTGTTGTTGTTGTTGTTATTTTATTAGTCACATTTATACAACACCCTCCCCACAATGCAGGCTCAGGGCGGCTCATAGTCAGTACATAAAATACAGTTAAAACCACATAAAACCATATAAAACAATTCCATGCTCAGATAAAGTAAATATTGCGAAACGAATGTTCAGATTGTGCAGTATTCGTTAGCCTGTGAGCGATGACAGAAGGATATTCCTTACAGAACTACAGAAATACTTAGGTAAATGTTTTTGCAACTTTATTGACTCTTTGTTATTTTTATCACGGATGTTGTTTTTGGAGTGACACCTTTCCTGGTGCCTGCCAAGTGTTTTAAGAAAGTGGGTGAGGCCAGGTGGGGCTCTTGCCCAGCAAGGCTTCTGATTGGCCGTTGGAAATTAGATTGGCTGTGCAGATTTTTAGCCACATTGCTTTGGCAGTAGCTGCCACGTCAGCACGAGGCTCTTCAAATATTTGACTGCAGGGAAGCTGTGTCAGCCATTTTGCAGCTGGCTCCACCTCCTGCAGCAGCCATTTTGGGGTGGCCATTTTGTAGCTGGGCCCGCCACACTGTGTCAGGATTCCAAGGTGCCCCCGGACTCAAAACGTTTGTGTCTAGCATGTCAGGACATGGAGTTTGGTGGATTAGTGATGGGGGCCAAGTGGTACCTGTTGGGAGAAATGTCTACAGCGGTTGTAAACCTGCCAAGAGGAAAAGTGGCCAATCTCACCTCACGAGGAAGATAAAATACCATTTTGGGATGTGTGGAAGCTAGGTTAATGGGTTTCCTGAGAACCCTGAGATGCTGAACACCTGAAGAAGAGAAGGATTTATACCCTGCCCTTCACTACCCGAAGGAGTCTCAGAGCGGCTTACAATCTCCTTTCCCTTCCCCTCCCCATAACAGACACCTGTGAGGTAGCTGAGAACTGCCCTTGAGAGAACAGCTCTGGAAGAACTTGTGACTGACCCAAGGTCACACCAGCAGTTGCATGTGGAGGAGAGGGGAATTAAACCTGATTCTCCCAGATTAGAGTCCATGCTCCTAACCACTACACCAAATTGGCTCTCTGGTAATCCTTGTTTGTACATATTCAACAATGTTGCCATATACCAGTGATGGCGAACCTTTTAGAGACTGAGTCCCCAAACTGCGACCCAAAACCCACTTATTTATCGCAAAGTGCCAACACGGCACTTTAACCTGAATACTGAGGTTTTACTTTAGAAAAAACAACTCATACATTAATTTAAGATGATCCAAACAAAGCAAGGAAAGCAATCCCAAATGCTTTCACTTACTTAAAATTATTTGGCAAAGAATTCAACACTTTAATGATGGTCTGGGCCTGGCTGGGGTGATGGCACGCGTGCCCACAGAGAGGGCTCTGAGTGCCACCTCTAACACCCATGCCATAGGTTCGCCACCACTGCCATATACACTGTATGAGTTTGTACAATTCACCTCGCCTCATGCAAGTATAATCTCCGGACCATAATTCCCCTAGTAATTATCTTTGCAGTTGCAGAAGTACTAACTCATGACCATATACCAATTTAGGATCAAAAATGCGCATAAAACAAAAAAACAAAGCATAAACTGGATCCCCAGAGGTGATCACTTTTGAATGCAGGGCCGACCCCCCCCCCCCCCCAAAGAAGCCCGAGTCAGTGGAGTCTTACCTAAAGCCGTCATGCTTATACTGAATCCAGCAAAAGCAGAACCCACAATGGACCTCAAGGCGATGTAGACGTACAAATTGGGCGCAAAGCCCGCCCCGACGCCAAAGGAGCCCATCAAGAGAAGGGTGAGCAAGATCGTGTTTCGGCTCCCGATCCTGGGGCAGAAGAAATGCAAGGAGGTCGGTAGAGGAAGGCCATCACTTGGACACCAGTACGCATTGCATGTACACAGGTGTATTAAAAGTATGGATGCTTTTCAGCTTTAGGAAGGGGCGATATCGCTTTGGAAAGCCATCTGATTGTTGTACATATTAGATTCCATGTCAAAAAAATGAAGTCAAATGAGGAGGAAGATCTATGTTTTATTTCAATTAACAGAAAAACAATTGGACCAAACAGTCCATCCAAAACTGACTACTTTCTTCTCAGCATATTCAGGAAATATGCTTCAATTAATAGGAAAACAATTAGACTAAATAACTCATCAAAAATTGACAACTTTCTTCTTTTTCTTCTTCATCTTCAATATATTCTGAACATATTCAGGAAATACATGATATTTTATACATGAACTGACATCATCAAGAAAACAATATTCAAACAGCATAATTGGTTACAAAAGATAGTGGTAATTTGAATAATAATCCTCTGATTGGCCAGATATAAAAAAAACATATATCTATGTCAATCTAAGTGCTTACTTAACCTATCCTAAATGATAATGGGCAAGGATTCTTCATACGAGACTAAAATCTTATCTGACCCAGACATTGAAAGGTTTGCCCTAAGAACTACAGAATCATGAACTTTGTACCTATTATGTTGTCTGCTAACAATATCAGACCTACGAAAGGAAAGCCTTCTATATAACAGGCCTTTCTAACATCCTAATGAAATATGACTTAAAGAATAAATCTATAAAAACCAGAGAAATATGAATATGAACAATCAAGAAGAAAAAAACCTACATATAAAAATCTTTATATTCCCATGCATACTACATGATCACGTACAGACAATTTAATCTGAGAAATCCAGAGTAGAGCCTTCATAACGGATGGGCTGTCCGTTCTGTACTTGAGAGCCTACACGAGGGGCAGGGGGAGAGGGCGGGATATGGAGCAGGAAAGCCGCAGAGCCTCAGGTCATCCCTACCCAAATTTACTTTGCCCTGGGGAAAGTAGCAGTGAGTATTTTTTTAAGAAAATGTACAGAACGTGGGACTGTAGCCCCATGGCAGAAGAGAGATCCTTGGCATGCAAAAGACCTGCGTTTTGATCTCTGTTGTTTCTACTCAGAGGTCCATGATTATGCGAGATTCTGTATTTCGGGACCTCTTGCAGAATGCAACGTGTCTCTGTACAGGAGGAGGAGAGGAGGAGAAGTTTGGATTTATACCCCGCCCTTCACTACCCGAAGGAGTCTCAGAGCGGCTTACAAACGCCTTCCCCTCCCCACCACAGACACCCTGGGAGGCAGGTGGGGCTGAGAGAGCTCTCTCGAGAACTGCTCTTGAGAGAACAGCTCTGAAAGAACTTGTGACTCACCCATGGTGACACCAGCAGCTGCATGTGGAGGAGTGGGGAATCGAACCCGGTTCTCCAAGATTAGAGTCCGGGCTCCCAACCACTACACCAAACTGGCTCTTAGAGGCCATTTGCACAGGCTTAGTAAGATGTCACCCAAGGGAGGCTAAGCGAGCCAGTCCTCGTGACATTTCATAGCTCTGATGGTGCCGGAAACGGCATTGCTTTCTTCCATGTGAAAATCCCTTTTGGAGTTGGGCTTCCGATCCTGCTGTGGTCCCTCGAGGGTGGTCTGTCCCTCCCACCAAAGCTGAGCAAATTGCCGCTCGTGCCTTTTGTCCGATGAAGCTTAATGGAAGCCACAGAGAACAAAGCCATCTCTGTGGATATCGGGGTCGCTGGGTCCCTCCCCGGCCACCAGAGGGCGATGGAGAGGCAGGGTTGCCAGATCCAGGTTGGGAAACTCCTGGAGATTTGGGAATGGAGTCCGGGGAGGGCAGAGACCTCGGCGGGTTCCCAATCAGTGTTCCCACTAAGCTGAGTCAGTGTGAGCTAGCTCACAGTTTTTTTAGCCTCCGGCTCACACATTTCTGTCTTAGCTCAGGAGGGATGGCTCCAGAGCAAACTGAGTTATGCAGCAGTCAAATCGCTGGGTCACAACTTTAATGCCCGTAGCTCACAAAGTACAATTTTTCCTCACAAGACTCCACAGCTTAGAGGGAGCATCCCCAAGGTCCTCTTCATCCCAGCAGGGCTTGTACATGATGCAATGGCCTTACTGGAGCTAAACAAGTCTGCATGTGGCCAGTGCTAGGGTTACCAGCCTCCAGGTTCTGGTTGAAGATCTTCTTAGATTACAAATGATCTCCAGGCCACAGAGATCAGTCCACGGGGGGGGGAAATGGCCGCATAGGAAGGTAGACTCTGTGGCATTGTACCTCACTGAAGTTAGGAGGGCAGACTCTAATCTGGGAGAACCGGGTTTGATTCCCCACTCTTCCACATGCAGCTACTGGTGTGAGCTTGGGTCAGTCACAAGTTCTTTCAGAGCTGCTCTCTCAAGAGCAGTTCTCGGGAGAGCTCTCTCGGCCCCACCTGCCTCACAGGGTGCTTGTTGTGGGGAGGGGAAGGGAAAGGAGTTTGTCAGCCGCTCTGAGACACCTTTGGCTAGTGAAGGGCGGGGTATAAATCCAATCTCTTCTCCTTCTTCTTCAAGAGCAGTTTCTGTCAAGAGCTCTCTCAGCCCCACCTGACTCACAGGGTGTCTGTTGTGGGGAGGGGAAGGGAAAGGAGTTTGTAAGCCGCTGTGAGACACCTTTGGCTAGTGAAGGGTGGGGTATAAATCCAATATCTTCTCCTTCTTCTTCAAGAGCAGTTTCTGTCAGAGCTCTCTCGGCCCCAGCTACCTCACAGGGTGTCTGTTGTGGGGAGGGGAAGGGAAAGGAGTTTTGTAAGCCGCTCTGAGACTCCTTCAGGTAGTGAAGGGCAGAGTATAAATCCAATCTCTTCTTCTTTTTCTTCTCCTCCTCCTCCTCCACCCCCCAAATCTTCAGATATTCCCCAACCCGGAACTGGCGACCCTAGTCAGTGCCCAGATGGGGAATTTTCTGAGAAGCCCACGTACATTGTTTCAAATGGCATGACAGAAAGGCAGGGGAAACAGCTAGATACCGAAACCATAGCTAATCTGAAGGCCAGTTCATGTGGCAGTCTATACAGAAAGAGATCTCTTTTCTGTCGGATGTGTTGTCCCAGCAGTCTGCCTCTACTTTGAAGGCACGCCCTTAGAAGAACCGCTCCTACTCCTCATGGGTGTGGTTGGAGGCAACCAGAAGAACAGGGACCATTCCTAGGAAAGGCATATCTTTTGCATAATCCATTCTGCCTCCTTGCAAAGGATAAAGAGCTGAGTCAGAAACTCGGGTTCCTGGGAAGATGCTTCGACCAATTGCAATGCCTGTGACAAAATTATTACGGAACCACGAAGGGCGCATTGCCCAGCTGAAGTGACAACATATATGGGGGTGGACCAAAATGCCCAGATCTGTACAACAACAATAAAAACAACCGTGATGTTATGTTATGAAAATATATTTAGACTACTATTCTGTAGTGAATCGTATTTCTTCATCACATCACAAAAATGTACACATACACGCAATGGGATTTGCATATAATACCGTTTCACATAATAGCTTTTTCTAAGTGTGCTGCGTGAATCAACAATTCTAATCTGTGAATTAACATACAACATTCTTCCCACTTCAGTGAAAGAATCTGTTTTATTGAAGTGGGAGGAATGTTGTGTGTTACGTAATTCGCGGATAAGAGTTGTTGACATGTAAACGAAAGGTATTCACGCAGCACACTTAGAAAAAGCTGTTATGTGAAATGGTATTATATGCAATCCCTGTTGTGTGTGTGTGTATATTTTTATAATATGATGAAGAAATACGATTCACTATAGAATAATACTCTAAGGCTCCGATCAGACGCAGAATTTGCCACGGGAGCGGCACTAATGCCTGGCGGATTATAGAGGTGCGATCACACAGCAACATCTGGCCAGCGTAGCGCACCCGTCGCAGCTAGCCGAGGATGTGGGATAAAAAGCTACCTCCGAAAGTCCACTAGCAAACGGCTTGCGATGGGCCACTGCCGGACTTTCCTTGTGTGATCACTCCAGCGCGCTCCTCTTGCGTCGTTGGAGCGCGCCGGTAATGTGCGCCGTCGCATCTGATCGCGTTTGCAGCGGGCCACACTGTGCCACCACAAACAGACACGCCTCCCCCCCCCCTCCGCGTTTCCCAGCAAGTATGAACGGGACCTAAATATATTTTCAAAACATTAACATCACAGTTGTTTTCATTATTGTTTGCATCCTTCCTGTTATCTCTGTTGCTTCTACACAGATCTGTACAACAACAGGCTTCCTTCAGGATAGCAGCTGCAGCCCAGTAACAACAGAGATGCTCGTTGGCTTACCTGTCACTCAGCGGCCCGAAGACCAGAGCTCCGGCGAGAACGCCCGCCATGAAAATGGACTGAGAGATGTCGTTTAAGTTTTTTCGCTCACAGACCAAGTTGAACTGGAGGGGAAAGAGCAGACAGTCCCTTTATTGAGCCTCCGGTCAACGCCAGCGTGGTATTCTCTTTCTGCAAATGGCAGCGCCATTTTCTGGCTGTCGTAGTTAAACGGCTTAGGGAAAGGCCACTGGAACATGCAGACTGGATATTAGAAAAAGCATTCGGGGTTTGTGCAATACAGGAAGTCACTCTGTCCAGGTGGACTGAATGTGCCCAGGTACAGGAGCAATGTCCAGCATCTGGGAAAGGATGCAAAAACTGAAACAATAAAACATATACTAAACTCATTCAGTCCTGACATATGTATTCTCACCAAGAAGGGCTATGCATCCTCTGTATTTTAGTGTATTTGGAATAGTATATCGGAATAGTGATGCAATGAATATTTGGAATGTTTTTCTCTGACATAACACTGCACCCCACCTCTAGGAAAAGGATGTCGTTGGTTGACTCCATGCTTGAAAGGAGACAAATGGAGCGTTAACAATAGAGTCACAGTTTATTACTCTTAGAAGGATACTTTTACACATCTATCTCCTATTTTGACATATTTATGACTTCAGTGTTCCCGCCCCCAATTAAATCAAAACAAATGGTGACCGTATGCACTTAGCTTGTAATTGCTGTTTAGTCTTTGCATATGTCAAAACATCTTCATTAAGTTGTATGCTAATTTGCTGTTCACCTATGTTGAGGCATCTGTCTATATATATGAGCTGTATCTGTACATTTCAATGTATCTGAGGAAGTGTGCATGCACACAAAAGCTCATCCCTTGAATAAACTTTTGTTGGTCTTAAAGGCAGAGGGCATTTCGGGGGGGATCGCGGGGGGATCGCAGTTCCCCCGGGTGAGGTACGGGGGGCGGGGCACATGACGAAGCCCCGCCCCCTGCTTCCGGCCGCCCCGCTTCTGGCCCTCATTCAGCCAGGAGGAGGCAGGAGAAGAGGGAGGGTAAGTTGCTTCCTCCCTGCCTCTCCCCACCCCTGCCTGCCTGGGGCCAGGGAGGGCCTTCGCGGGGCTTCCTTGCACTCCCGCCGGCCTTGCAGGTCCACCGCCGGGCCCCTCATGGGGCTCGGCAGTGGAGCTGCAAGGCCGGCGGTGGCGGCCAGGACCATTGTGTGGCCTTATGACACACTTCCGGTGATGTCAGGGGGTGTGGCATATGCTAATGAGTTATGCTAATGAGTCCCCCTAGCTCTTTTTCTACGAAACGACCCCTGCTTAAAGGTGCCACTGGACTCAAACTTTGTTCAACAATAAAATGAATCACTTTGCCATCATGTGGAGACTGAGACAGTGGTTTACAAGAATCCCCCTGTCTTATCCTACAACTGGACTATTACCCTGGAAACCAGTGGCTGGTTTAAACGGGATGTTAATTCCCAAGAGAATGTCATTCCTGAATGTGTGATGGAAGCACTAAATGACAGAGAGCGGAGCACCAATCTGCCTGTGTTACTGAGCGTGGATTTGGGGGATTTAAAAAATAATACAGATGGAGAAGGAGGACGATCAGGTAAAACATGGTATGATGTAGATCCTTTCCTATCCTATTCCTAGCTAGGCTGAGGGAATGATCTCTATGGGGGCACCAACTTAAGTTGTAATGAAACAAAACCCCTAAATATCTAAATGATTTAACCTGTTCTATTTCTTTTCTTTCTATTCTCCACTGATTACACTTCCAGGCTTTGGGAAAGACCAATATTTTTGTTTTATCAAAATTAATAGAAAGAGAATTCCGACTACAATAAGAGTTAAACTCTAATAAAAGGTGCACAAGTCCAATCCTAGTAAAAGAAAGAATGGCCGCATCATCTGCATAAAGTAAAATGGGAACTGCAGAAGCTATTTATTTATTTTCTATTTGTTTCATTGTTCTTTTTGCTGCTGTGTTATGCCAATAAAGGTCCATGTATGTGTGTGTGTAGATCCTTTCCACACTTGGATCTCATCCCTGGTTTTATCAGAGTTCAGCTCGGGACACAGTACCTTGCATTTATCCCTGCTTATAATGGTCCTTTCCACACTAGACCTTAAGTCCTGGTTCAACCCTGTCCCCAAACTTACATTCTATACTAAACATGAGTTCACCCCTGTAATTATCTCGGGGTATTATTACATTCTACACTACATGCAATTTCACGCCCGTAATTATCTTGGGGTATTTTTTGTTTCCACATTACATTGAGGTCACCCCGGTTTCGCCCCACACTTGTCCCGGGATAAACGGATGCTGTTATAACCAGGGATAAATGCAAGGTGTTGTGTCCCGAGTTGAACTCTGATGAAACCAGGGATGAGATCCAAGTGTGGAAAGGACCAACAGCATCCATTTATCCTGGGAAGGGGAGTTCACCACCTCCCTAGGCAGTTGATCCCACTGTTGCACAACTCTGACTGTCAAAAAATATTTCCTAATATCCAGCCGGTACCTCCCTGCCCTTAATCTAAACCCATTATTGTGAGTCCTTCCCTCTGCTGCCAACAGGAACGGCTCCCTGCCCTTCTCTATGGTCGAATCTGCATTTGCATTTTTAAATTAGTTTCATGCTGCTGTGACGCCGTCTTTCTCTATGCTTGTTTGAATGTTGTTTGGAGAGGAAGATTCTTTTGAAGCAGTGCAGAGGTGCAATGACAGTGGAGCCTCCGCGAAAGGACGATAAACATGTGTGGACGTGCAAAAGTATGCTAGCACTCTTGAGGTGTGAAAACAACACCAAATGCAGACAGATTTTTTGAAGACGGAGTCAAAAGACTGGGACACTGTTGGGAAAGTCAAATGCAGATTCAGCCTCAGTGAAAGCCCTTCAAAGACTTCGAGAGAGCAATCACGTTCCCCTTCAGCCTCCGTTTCCCTATGGCTGCTCTAAATTTCTAAAAAGGGAGCAATGGCGAAGAGCCGCCTCTTTGAGAAAAACTCATTGTGGTAAGACATTTTAGAAATATAGAAGGTTTGGGTTTAAAAATGAACCAAATAGTTTATAAAATCCATGTATCTGTCTCTGAACCGAACCCCATGTTTCTTTGCAAGCCCTTTGTTCCAGGAAAATCTCTCGCAACATTTGCATTACATTGTTCATGAATCTAAAGAATTTGGAAACATTTAGAAATAAAAGATTGGTATGCACCTGCCATTAAGTCAAGGAAGCCAGCATATTTGCAATACTAAAGGCTTGCCGACATGCAGAAACTCACATCGCACCTCCAGCCAGCAGACCGTGCCTGACTGTCTACCTTGCTTCAAAGAAACAAAGAACATCCTGAAATTGTAACATTCTTGTGTTTGTCATTTAAAAATTTAGGTGCTATCTCGCATTGTTTTGCGAAAGATCAGGGTAACCCCATTGCCTCTGGAATGTGGGAACATTTCCTGGACCATAATGCCCCACATTACCAGGGCAGTTAGATTAATTGATGCAGTTTATAATTTCTATAGCTCTATCGAAATGTATGGGACCAACATGGTATAAAAGAAGGCGAGATGCTTCGTTTCAGGACTGACTCTCAGAGATCCAGGGAAGGCTTTGTCTTTCGTGATCTCTCTGGGCCAGTCCAGAAGCTTCTGTGCATGGGGAAATCTTTGTTCTGTACAGAGGTCATTTCGGGGGGAAACGCGGGGGAATGCAGTTCCCCCGGGTGAGGTGCAGGGGGCGGGGCACATGACGAAGCCCTGCCCCCTGCTTCCGGCCGCCCCACTTCCAGCCCTCATTCAGCCAGGAGGAGGCAGGAGAAGAGGGAGGGTAAGTTGCTTCCTCCCTGCCTCCCCCCACCCCTGCCTGCCTGGGGCCAGGGAGGGCCTTGGCGGGGCTTCCTTGCACTCCTGCCGGCCTTGCAGGTCCACCACCGGGACCCTGATGTCAGGGGGTGTGGCATATGCTAATGAGTTATGCTAATGAGTTCCCCTAGCTCTTTTTCTACGAAATGACCCCTGGTTCTGTATATTTAACCACTGACTGTCACTTTTTTATTTAGGAAGTAAGTATTCTGTTTTGTATTCCTTGTTTGTCTTTAGCTAATAAACAATTTTATTGTTTAAATAACCTTGCGTTGCATTCCAGCTAACTTTCTTTTAACATTCTACCCCACCTTGGTAAGGGGCACTCACCAGACCCTTACGAACCTAAAGGGGGTGGGAACAGGTGCAGGTAACACTTTATACAGGGTTAGTTTAGACTGACAAGTGGTGCAGTTGCATTTTCCCAACACTCATCAGAACCACTCTCAACCAGTTTGGCTTGGTGCTTCACTTCCTTATGCATTTATTCGTTCCATGCATTTTTATCCCTCACTCTTCTTCCCATAAGCACAGGGCAGGGCAGATTGTTTTCTCCTGTCTTATTTATTTATTTATTTATTTTATTTACATGAGATTTATATACCGCCCATGACCCCTAATGGGTCTCAGAGCGGTTTACAGAATACTACTAATATATAGTAGTCATTAAACCTACCTAGGGCCACATTTCACAAGGGGAGGGACTCCCTACCGACACCCTGTTGGCAGCGCATTCTCTCTTCTTCCGGCAGGCTACGAGTGTTGTTTCTGGCATCTTCTGGTTACCCGGCGACCACCTTCCGGCAGGCTCGATGTTTTTCTCTTCTGCGCGCGACCGGCCTTCCGGCCGTGCCTCCCTGGATCAGTCGCCACCATTTTTCCGTTTCCTTGCCGCCGCCATCTTTTACTCCTCTCTCTCGCCGCTGCCGACCACCTTCCCAGCACGGAGCCAGGAGGAGGGTGCCCCCTGCCACCTAGGGGCAGGTACCCATTTCTCTTTGTTTTTACGAGAGCCGCTGGGTTAGCAGGAGCTGGGACGGGGGACGGGGGCTCAACCCGGCCGCAGTGGGGATTCGAACAGCCTTGTGGCTGTTCGCTACAGATGTTAACCACAGGCGTCGTATTGCCTGTGCCACCACTCCCATTTCTTCTCATAGCAAACCTGGGAGACAGGCTACCCTGAGAGGCAGTGATTAGTCCAAACTCACTCCGCGAGTTTCCTGGTGAATCAGGATCTGAACCCAGGTCTTAGTTCAACACTCTAACTAGCTCCAGGCTGGGAAATACCTGGATATTTTGGGGGTGGCGCCTGGAGGAGGGAAGGGTTTGGGGAGGGAAGGGTCTTCTTCAGTGTGGTATAAGCAGGGGTCATTTCATAGAAAAAGGGGTGCAGGAGCTCATTAGCATAACTCATTACATAACTTATTTGCATATGCCATGCCCCCTTACGTCACCGGAGGTGGGTCAGAAGGCAACACCCACCGCACAGGCTCCACTGGACTGTTTTGGATTGCTAGCTATTGGGGGGGCGTGCAGATCTGCCCTCACAGAGCAGGGAGTGCTTGTACCTGAATAAAACTTGGTCTTAAAGGTGCCACTGGACTGTTTTGGATTGCTAGCTATTGGGGGGGGGGGGAACGCGCAGATCTGCCCTCACAGAGGAGGGAGAGCTTGTACCTGAAGGTGGGCCAGGGGGGCTCTGCAACTTACCTGGTTGCTTCTTGCTCCTTGTGGCCCAACTGAGGGCTGCTGGGAGCAGGGGGTGGGGCTTGTTGCATGTGCCTGCCCACTGGGCTCCTTACTGCCACAGCTCCGCTCCTGTGCGCTCCCGCAGGAAATGACCCCTGGATATAATGCCATAGAGTCCACCTTCCAAAGAGGCCATTTTCTTCAGGCGAACTGATCCCTGTGACCTGGAGATGAGTTGTAATTCCAGGAGATCTCCAGCCACCACCTGGAGATTGGCAGCCCTATATGCAACACTGGCTGTGAGCTTAGTTTCCAGATTAGAGTCCCAACCCAGGGCTTCAGTGGCTTCCTAACAAGTCAGTTACACCGCAAGTTCACTCTCTGAGTGCTCTGATTTACAATCATCCCTGCATTATATGGATTTAAATTCAACCTTTGACAATAACTGCTGGACCTACCCATGGCGGCATAAACAAGGAAATATGGAGGTGCACACCATCAACATATTGATGACATCCAACCCAAAACTGCTGGGGTGAGCAACTCAACAAGCCTGGACGTTGAGGGGCGCTACATCACTCTAAGGGTGCGTTCAGACGGTTGCAATCGTTGTACTCACCGGCGTTCAGACGGGGCACATCTGCGTCCTCTCCCTAACCGGTGTAAAGCCCTCTACACCGTTGCACTCTGCCACCAGGTCCCAAGTGGTGGTATACTGAGTGCAACGGTGGCTTCTGGTTTATCCCGGCGTCTGATCGCTCTCCAACGTTGCAGAGACACTTCCGTCGGAAGCCTGAGACTTCCATCGGAAGCCTGAGGCTTCCGGCTTTCCCCTGCCATTTTTTTAACACAAGGAAGCGATATGCACTCGGGCGAAGCTTCGCCCTGAGCGTTTGTTTTTTTTTTAAAAAAAGGCCCTTAGTTTAACTTCCCGGAGGAGTCCGGGACTACAGGGAGGCCAGGTTGGGCTTTAAACTTTAAAGGTAAGTGCTTACCTTTAAAGTTTAAATGTAATGGGGGGGTTGAGCATGCACAAAGATTGCCATTCTCTGAATGGCTGCCTATGCGCATGCTCAAACTGTGCTTTAAAAAAAAAACGCCGACGCCCGCAGCGTGTGAGCGGGCATCCAACGGAGGGATCCGGAAGATGGAGGTAAGTGTGATCGCGTTTCTGCCGACATATACTGCACCGGTTCCAACCGGTGCAGTTTATGCCGGCAGAAACGCCCCGTCTGAACGCACCCTAAGGGTGTGTAGTTTGGTGTAGTGGTTAAGTGTAGTTTGGTGTAGTGGTTAAGACTCTAATCTGGGAGAACCAGGCTTGATTCCCCACTCCTCCACTTGCAGCTGCTGGATGACCTTGGGCAAGCCGTAGCTCTGATAAGAGCTGTCCTTGGAAAAAGAGCAGTTTCTGTCAAGAGCTCTCTCAGCCCCACCTACCTCACAGGGTGTCTGTTGTGGGGAGGGGAAGGGAAAGGAGTTTGTAAGCCACTCAGAGACTCCTTCAGGCAGTGAAGGGCGGGGTATAAATCCAATATCCTCCTCCTCCTCTTCTTCTTCTCTTCTAGTTGTTATCTTCTTGAATGGGATGCCTCTCTATGTCTTAACCGGGCAGCTGCCCTCCGACCCCTCTTCCCTCTCCCTTTGCCCCCTCTCACCTCACATGGCTTTCCATGGAGAATCGTGTCTGCAGGTGTCTCCTGTAGAGACAATGCCCTCATCCTCCCACACACAGGATGCCGGACAAGCTGGCCATTTGTGATAGGGAAAGCGCTCTTTATATTAGGCTTTTCTCTCTCTTTTTGACTGCAACCTGAATGTGAAATGAATGTACTTGAATAAATGTGAGTTTACCTTTTCTGCAATCTACTTCTTGGGAGACTTATTTACTGCACTCAGGATCCCGCTTCTATGACCGGGCAAAACTCTGCTGTATTAAGCTGACAGGGTTATTTTTGGGCAGGAACGCACAGGAACGGAGTTCCGGCTGGCTCCCAAGTTGGCCACGCCCAGCAGGAACTCATTAGCATAATAGGCCACACCCAACAGCAGGAACTCATTAGGATTGGCTACATTAGGGGTGTGTGGCCTAACATGCAAAGGAGTTCCTGCTACAAAAAAGGCCCTGGTTTGACAACAAACAAGGTAAACAGAATAAGAAGCAAAAGGTGGGTGTGGCTGGATGACCACACAGCTGGTGACATGGGGTGTGGCCTAATATGCTAATGAGCTGTGCTATCATGGGTGTGGCCTAATATGCTAAGGAGTTCCTGCTGTTGAGTGTGGCCTGTTATGCTAATGAGTTCCTGCTGGGGGTTTTCTACCAAAAAAAGCCCTGATTAAGCAGGTATCCCAGTAAATACTATGGACGACGATTCTCCTCCAGAGCTGCGCCTACAGATTAAACCAGCACAAGAGGTAGAATGAAACCTGTTGGAACCCCCACAGGAAAAATTACCATACGGTTTCCACACATAGACACATTTCAAGACAGAATCATGAAATCCAGGAGGGGCCATGGATCAGTGGCAGAGCACCTGCTTGGCATGTAAGGAGGTCACAGGCTCAGTGCTCGGCATCTCAGGCATTGAAAAACCGTACTCTGTCTGAGAGCTCTTGCCAGTCAGCATGGACAGTGCCGTATGAGAGCAAGCAGGGCTCTTTTTGTAGCAGAAACTCCTTTGCATATTAGCCCACACCCCCTAATCTAGCCAATCCTCCAAGAGTTTACAGAGCTCTTTTTACAGGAGCTACTGTAAGCTCTTGGAGGATTGGCTACATTAGGGGTGTGTCACGGCGACACACCCCTAATGTAGCCAATCCTCCAAGAGCTTACAGTAGCTCCTGTACGAAGAGCTCTGTAAGCTCTTGGAGGATTGACTACATTAGGGGCCACTCTCTGAGCAAGTGTGGTGTAGGGGTTTGAATGTCAGGCCAGGACCTGGGAGCCTGAGGTTCAAACCCCCACTGTGCCACAGAAGCTCGCCAGATGGACTTGGGCCAGTCACACACTCTAGCCTACCTCACAGGGCTGTTATGAAAATAAAAGGAAGAAGAAGAAGAGGAGGAGAGGAGATTGGATCGATACCCCGCCCTTCACTACCCAAAGGAGTCTCAGAGTGGCTTACAATCTCCTTTCCCCTTCCTCTCCCCACAACAGACACCCTGTGAGGCAGGTGGGTCGGAGAGAGCTCTTTCAAGAAATGCTCATGTGAGAACAGCTCTCAGAGAACTTGTGACTGACCCAAAGTCACACCAGCAGCCGCATGTGGAGGCGTGGGGAATCAAACCCCGTTCTCCCAGATTAGAGCCCGCGCTCCTAACGACTACACCAAACTGAAGGAGAAGAGACTGATGTAAGGCAATTTGGGTCTGCCTTGGGAAGAAAAGCGGGATATGACTATCCAAATAAATATATAAATAATAAATACCAAGGTAGATGGACCGAAGATTGAACTCAGTGTAAGGCCACCTCTTACAGGAATAACTAATTGTAAAGTACACACCTCGGTTAGCAATGTCGGCGGATGCTCTTCGGGATACACCCAACCGTCTCGGCATTTTTCTGTGGAATTGAGTTGAAGCGATTGAAGGCTCCCTTGCACAGGAGTAAACATACAGCATTCCTCAAGAGATCCATCGGGCTTTCTAGGAATGGTCAAGTTCAGCTCCTGCTCTTTGGTTAGGTTCAAGTCAAGCTTGCGGATCCAGCTCGTGTCGCAATAGTGAGGGACGTCCCTGACAATGAACACTTGGCCGAACAAGTGGAAGGCTGTGAGGAAATTCGGAATACAGAGCAGGAGAACTAGCCATTTCTGGAACCACCCGAATTCCCCGATCACCTTCAAGATGTCTCCAAATTCCATCGTTCCGACTTCACCAGCCGCTTGTGTGTATTGTTTTCACACCTGGGGACCGAAATGAGTGGTTAAGCTCAACTGAGTCTGCAAAGAAATAATAAAAAGGGGGCAAGGTGAATAATTAATCTGGGTTTGCCGTCTCTTAAACGAATGGAACCTATCCTACCGCGGCAGCTGCCAAGAGTTAATATTTTTATTTCTTTGAAACATTCATTATCCTGAGACCAGGGAAATTAAGGTAATCCTTCCCGCTTAGAACATTCCAAGTAGGAGGTGAACATAAGAACATAAGAGATGCCAATGTTGGATCAGGCCAAAGGCCCATCCAGTCCAACACTCTGTATCACACAGTGGCCAGAAATACCAGGTGTCATCAGGAGGTCCACCAGTGGGGCCAGGACATTAGAAGCCCTCCCACTGTTGACCCCCCCAAGCACTAAGAAGACAGAGCATCACTTGCCCCAGAGTCCCTATCTATACCTTGTGGCTAAGAGCCACTGATGGACCTCTGCTCCATATGCCTATCTAATTCCCTTTTGAAGCCGTCCATGCTTGTAGCCGCCACCACTTCCTGTGGCAGTGAATTCCAAGTGTTAATCACTCTTTGGGTGAAGAAGTACTTCCTTTTATCCGTTCTAACCCGACCGCTCAGCAGTTTCATGGAGTGCCCACGAGTTCTTGTATTGTGAGAAAGGGAGAAAAGTACCTCTTTCTCTACCTGCTCTTTCCCATGCATAATCTTATAAACCTCAATCATGTCACCCTAATTGTAAAATTAGTTGCAAAATTGTACAATTAGTGAAACCTGTCTTCTGATTCTTGCCTGCAGTTAGAGTTATGGCTGCGGGTCAAAAAATACGACGGGTGTTGTGCTTATGACCTGCCCTGGATTGACAAGATTGAATTTTGGATTTCAAAATACCTTCTAGAAGGTGCCCACTCAGTCAGAGTAGCCTCAATTCAATTGGGAGTCAGTTTGGTATAGTGGTTAGGGTTGCAGATTCTAATCTGGGAGAACCGGGTTTGATTCCCCGCACCTCCCCATGCAGCTACTGGTGTGACCTTGGCTCAGTCACAAGTTCTCCCAGAGCTGTTCTCTTACGAGCAGTTCTCGAAAGAGCTCTCTCAGCCCCACCTACCTCACAGGGTGTCTGTTGTGGGGAGGAGAAGGGGAAGGAAGATGGTAAGCCGCTCTGGGACTCCTTCGGGTAGTGAAGGGTGGGGTAGAAATCCAATCTTTTCCTCTCTCTTCTTCTCTCTTCTTCTTCAGTTCCTGGAAGGATCTTATTGGTGACAAATTAGATCTTGGTAAGTTTAAGCTCCACAAATGAATGGAATGAGCCCTGGGTCAGTGTCCTTTTTTGCGTTCTCCCTTCATCGCTCACTATTAGGCAATATTTCAGGTAACAATTAGTCTTGAATGCATGTAGAAATGGTATGTGTTGATCCGGGCACATTTTTTAAGCCACAAAATAAGTGGACATCAAGTAGAAACCAAGGGACGGCTCTACTATCTCCCCTCCTCTGTGAGGCACATGTAGGCAGCTCAATACGAGATGGAGACCTTCAAAATGCGACTCTCCTTACCTTCAGTCTGACCTAGGACAGTCCAGAGTTCTATAACCTTATTCTGAATAACATAGAGATGGGCTATATGTATTCAAAATGCTCTTCCCTGGAAAGCGATGCTTTGGGTGTGCTGCCATCATGGGTCATTTCGTAGAAAAAGAGGTGCAGGGACTCATTAGCATAACTCATTAGCATACCTTATTTGCATATATCACACCCCCTGGCATCACCGGAAGTGTGTCAGAAGGCAACACCCACCACTCAGGCTCCACTGGACTGTTTTGGATTGCTAGCTATTGGGGGGGGGACGTGCAGATCTGTCCTCGCAGAGGAGGGAGAGCTTGTACCTGAATAAAATCTGGTCTTAAAGGTGCCACTATGTTTTGGACTGGGGGGCCGGGGGGGGCTCTGCAACTTACCTGGCTACTTCTTGCTCTGACTGAGGGCTGCTGGGAGCAGGGGGTGGGGCTTGTTACATGTGCCCGCCCCCTGGGCTCTTTACTGCCAGAGCTCCGCTCCTGTGTGCTCCTGCAGGAAATGACCCCTGGGTGCCATACATTACCAGTCTGCTATGGAAGAGATACTTCTGAAATACAGTTATGTGTGGCCCGGTCTTAGCCGTTATTCTAGACAAATTGGTCCTGTTCGCACATATATGCTCACTGATTGGCGACTGCAGTGTTGTAGAATCATAGAATCCTCAGATGAATCTCTGTGTGCAATCACGAGAATGCACATTAGAGAGAGAGAGAGAGAATCACAGATCAACACCACTGATAGAGGTTTCGTATCAGCAGGGGTCATTTCGTAGAAAAAGAGCTAGGGGAACTCATTAGCATAACTCATTAGCATATGCCACTCCCCCTGACATCAGGGGCCTGGCGGTGGACCTGCAAGGCCAGTGGGAGTGCAAGGAAGCCCCGCGAAGGCCCTCCCTGGCCCCAGGCAGGCAGGGGTGGGGAGAGGCGGGGAGGAAGCAACTTACCCTCCCTCTTCTCCTGCCTCCTCCTGGCTGAATGAGGGCCGGAAGCGGGGCGGCCGGAAGCAGGGGGCGGAGCTTCATCATGTGCCCCGTCCCCCTGCACCTCACCCAAGGGAACTGCGTTCCGCCACGTTCCCCCCCGAAATGACCTCTGCGTATCAGCTCAGGAAAAAACACATTTCAAAGGAGGCATCTTAGACTGAAAGCTCCTAAGTGCCGAGAATAAACAAGTGATGTACACAGCCATATAGGTTTCTATTTAGTTACAAGGACTCTGCGGTCACTCGTCAATCCTGCCCTATCCGCAAGGAGGCGAGCGGAGAGCAGGAGCTGCTGCTACCACCACCACTGTTCCTGGGAGCGGGCAAGGAGAAGTGGGAGCTGCCACTACCCCCCACACACCCTGACTTGAGCCGGGGGGGCAGAAAAGCAGTGCTGCAAATGGGGGAGGGGATGCAGGAGCTGACTCCCTGCTCCGCCACGGTAGCAGCAATAGCCACCACCTCCACCACGTGAGCCGGGCAGGCAGAATGGGTGGCAGAAATGTTCCCTCTAAGCTGAGTTAGTGCGACCTAGCTCACCATTTTTTAGCCTCCAGCTCACACATCTTTGTCTTAGCCAGGGGTCATTTCGTAGAAAAAGAGGTGCAGGAGCTCATTAGCACAACTTATTAGCATAACTCATTTGCATATGCCACACCCCCTGACATCGCCGGAAGTGTGTCAGAAGGCAATGCTGCTACCACCACCACTGTTCCTGGGAGTGGGCAAGGAGAAGTGGGAGCCGCCACTACCCCCCCCCCACACCCTGACTTGAGCCGGGGGGGGGGCAGAAAAGCAGTGCTGTAAATGGATGCTACTGGACTGTTTTGGACCGGGGGGTCCGGGGGGAGCTCTGCAACTTACCTGGCTGCTTCTTGCTCTGACTGAAGGCTGCTGGGAGCAGGGGGTGGGGCGTGTTGCATGTGCTGGGCTCTTTACTGCCGGAGCTCCACTCCTGTGCGCTCCTGCAGGAAATGACCCCTGGTCTTAGCTCAGGAAGGATGGCTCCAGAGCAAACTTATTTATGCAGCAGCCAAATCGCTCGCTCGCAGCTTTCATGTTGGTGGCTCGGAAAGTAGAATTTTTGCTCAAAAGAATCCATGGCTTAGAGGGAGCATTGGGTGGCAGTGTAGGCGGTTTGGCTGCTCGTCAAACGGCCGGCTGAGCTAGTAAGGAGAGGGGAAGGATGGGATTCCCTCTGGCACGAGTCTCACAGGCCCCCATTTATAAAGCCGCACTACCTGAAGACTTCACCTCATCTTACTCCAGCTTTTAAAGACTTCCCTGGCAGTGTTCCCTCCAAGCTGAGTTAGTGTGAGCCAGCTCGCTTTTTTTTAGCCTCCGGCTCACTCATTTTTTTGTCCTAGTTCAGGAAGGAGGGCTCCAGAACAAACTGATTTATGCAGCAGCCAAATTGCTTACTCACAACTTTAATGCCAGTAGCTCACAAAGGAGAAGTTTTGCTCACAAGACTCCACAGCTTAGAGGGAGCACTGCTCCCTGGTCATGCAGGGTCTCGATGCGATTGTTGCTGTTGTCGTTCAGTTGCACAGTCAAGTCCGACTCTTCATGACCCTCTGGACCACATCACGCCAGGACCTCCTGTCTTCCGTTGTGCTCCGGAGTTTGCTCAATTGCATGTTCGTTGCCTCAATAACACTCTCTAACCATCGCATCCTTGCCGTCCCCTTCTTCTTTGACCTTCAGTCTCGATAAGATTAGCCAGGTGTTTTTCTTTCACTTTATGTCAGGTTTAGGTCAGGGTCAGGTCTATGGCTTCTTAATATTTTTTGACATTATCTTCAATTAATGTTTAACTTCTAATGTTTTTATCTATTGCATTTCATTGTTTTTTATATCCGTGTCGTAAACTCGCCCAGAGAGCTTCGGCTAGGGGCGATATCGAAATGAAATAAATAATAACAATCTCCCACACGAAGCAGTCTTGCTGGCAAAACTTTATTCCGTCTTATGCACAACACCCGGAGATTAGGTTTTCAAGCAAAACTTTGTTCCGTCTTATGCACAACACCCGGAGATTAGGTTTCCAAACAGAGGCTCGATGGCAACAGGCTTCCTCAGGAGGTGGTGGGCACTCCTTCTTTGGAGGTTTTCAAGAAGAGGCTAGATGGCCGTCTGACAGCAATGCTGATTCTTTGAACTTAGAATCATGAGAGGGAGGGCAGGAAGGGTCACATCAGTGCTCAGTTCTCGTGGCCCTTTCTTACGCGCCCAGGGAAATGCCGATTGCCACTTTGGGGTCAGGAAGCAATTGTTCTCCGGGCCAGTTTGGCCAGGGATCCTGGAGGTTTGTTTGCCATCTTGTAATGTACTGCCTCCATTACCACGTGCGCGGCCGTTGCGCCCTGCGGCCAAGCGCTAACCCCAAAGCTTCGTCCGGCAAGAACAATAGA